TAATTTTTGTATTTTTAGTAGAGACGGGGTTTCACCATGTTGACCAGGATGGTCTCGATCTCTTGACCTTGTGATCCACCCGCCTCGGCCTCCCAAAGTGTTGGGATTACAGGCTTGAGCCACCATGCTCGGCAGCATGGCACTTTCAAACAACACTATTTCCTTGTATTATTTATTGGTATTCTCAATTGCCTTAACTAGTTTATCAGCCACATAAAGTCAGGGATTGTTTCTCTCCTTAGCTTCTGGCTCAGCAACTGTACAAAGCATTGCCAAACACTGGCAGAAAATGTCAATCTGGTGGCTGGGTGTAGTGGCTCACACCTGTAATCCCAGCACTTTGGCAGGCCAAGGCGGGAGGACTGCTTGAGGCTAAGAGTTTGAGACCAGCCTGGGCAACAAAGCAAGACCATATCTCTACAAAAATATTTAAAAATTAGCCAGGTGCCACGTGTGGTGGCATGCACCTGTAGTCTCAGCTACTTGGAAGGCTGAGGCAGGAAGATCCCTTGAGCCCAGGAGTTTGAGTCTGCGGTGAGCTATGATCACACCACTGCACTCCAGCCTGGGCAAAAGAGAGAGACCATGTCTCTAATAAATAAGTTGCATATATGAATCTATGCAATTTTATCAAAATAGTAATTTATCAATAACTATATGACCCAGTAATTCTACTCTTAGGAATTTATCCTACAGGGATATTCTCACAAGTGAGGAGTGATATGTGCGTTATGGAGTACTCATTGCAGCAATACTTGTAATAGCAAAAAACTGGGCCAGGCGCGGTGGCTCACACCTCTAATCCCAGCACTTGGGAGGCTGAGGCAGGTGGATCACGAGGTCAGAAGTTCAAGACCTGCCATGACCAACATGGTGAAACCCCGTCTCTTAAAAAAACAAAAACAAAAACAAAAAACCACAAAACTGAAAACCATCATTAGAGACTGGTTAAACTAATAATGACAAACTTATACAATGGAATAGTATGCAGTCACATAACAAAGTATATTTCTATATGCTGACATGGACAGAGGTCTGCAAGGTTTAAATTATCCTTGTACTAGCACAGACAATCTCAGGAGGGATACACAAGAAACTTAACATTGGCTGCCTCTGGTGGGGGGCGGGGGACAAAAGTCTAGAGAGGGATAAAATTTACTTTTCATCATACATCCTTTCAAACTGTTTAGATTTTTATCATTTGCCTATACTGATTTTATTTTATTTTTTGAGACAGTCTCACTCTGTCACCAGGCTGGAGCAGTGGTGTGATCTCAGCTCACTGCAACCTCCGCCTCCTGGGTTCAAGCAATTCTCTTGCCTCAGCCTCCTGAGTAGCTGGAACTATAGGCACATGCCACCGTGCCCAGCCAATTTTTTGTCTTTTTAGTAGAGATGGGGTTTCACCGTGTTAGCCAGGATGGTGTTGATCTCCTGACCTCGTGATCTGCCCGCCTTGGCCTCCCAAAGTGCTGGGATTGCAGGCATGAGCACTGCACCCGGCTCTTTTTACTTTTTTAAGATAGGGCCTCACTCTGTTGCCCAGGCTGGAGTGTACTGCTGCAAAAACGGCTCAGCACACCCTTGACCTCCTGAGCTCGAGTGACCCTCCTAGAAGCTGGGACCACAAGTGCGTGCCACCATGCTTGGCTAATTTAAACAAATTTTTTTGCAGAAACAGGGTCTCACCATGTTGCCCAGGCAGGTCTCAAACTCCTGGGCTCAAATGATCCATCTTCATCAGACTCCCAAAGTGCTGGGATTACAGGCGTGAGCCAATGTGGCCAGCTTGATTTTTCTTAAAACAAAAACAAAAAAATGAGTTACAAAAAGGGAGAACAAGTGAAAAAGCAACTTGTATAAAAGTATGCACAGTATGAATCCCATTTATGCAACACAAAGAAAAAAAAGTATTTCCATGTTTGGGTTTAGAAAATTTCTGGAAAGACATGTAAGAAACTTATCAGTGATTTACTCTGGGGAGTGGGACAAGGTAGAGAAGACTTTTAAATTTCTTTTTTTTTTTTTTTTTTTTAAGAGACAGGTTTCACCATGTTGGCCAGGATGGTCTTGATCTCCTGACCTTGTGATCTGCCTGCCTCGGCCTCCCAAAGTGCTGGGATTATAGGTGTGAGCCACCGTGCCTGGCCAGGACTTTTAAAATTTCTACTATGTACCCTTTTATTTATTTATTTTTAGACCAAGTCTCACTCTGTTGCCCAGACTGGAGTACAGTGGCAGGATTTTGGCTCACTGCAACCTCCACCTCCCAGGTTCAAGCAATTCTCCTGCCTCAGCCTCCCAAGTAGCTGGCATTACAGATGCCCGCCACCACACTAATTTTTTTTTTTGTATTTTTAGTAGAGATGGGGGTTTCACCACATTGGCCAAGCTGGTCTTAAACTTCTAACCTCAGGTGATCCACTTGCCTTGGCCTCCGAAAGTGCTGGGATTACAGGCAAGGGCCATCGCACCTGGCCCCCGCTTTTTTAAAAAAAAACAAACAAACAAACATTTTTTGTCTGTACTACTGTTTAAAAGCAATTTTTTACATGGCCATAAATGAAGGGTATAGCAAGTTATGTGACATTCATAATGAAGCCATGCTAATTTAAACTTTGCCTCTCAAGTGGCACATAACTGACAGAGCTAAACAACTTCGAGTTGCAGTCCCATCTCTAAGTGGGGGAGGGCAAGACATTTGTCTGTAAGGGGAAATGGAAAGAGAAGGACAAACGATGGTTAGGTAATCCCTCTTGAAGCACCAGTGGAAGCTGCCCAGGGCATGAATCTTCCTTCTAGTGGAAGCCTAGAACCACTGTGGGGAATGAGGAACGGGCTACACAATTCAAACTTAGGATAAGCCTAACGTCTCACTGAAGGAGTCAAATCGGCAAATTTAGGAGGAGATCTACAGCATGAGATCCTAAAGGAATTATAATTTACACTTTTTTTTAAAAAAAAAAACCTACAGAATGTACATAGTATAACATTTTTATATATATAAAAAAAATTAGAAACCCAACTGGGCACAGTGGCTCACGCCTGTAATCTCAGCACTCTGGGAGGCCAAGGTGGGTGGATCACCTGAGGTCGGGAGTTCAAGACCAGCCTGGTCAAGATGGTTGAAACCCTGTCTCTACTAAAAATACAAAAACTAGCTGGTGTGGTGGCAGCTGTTTGTAATCCCAGCTACTAGAGAGGCTGAGGCAGAGAACTGCTTGAACCCAGGAGGCGGAGGTTACAGTGAGCCGAGATTGTGCCACTGTACTCCAGCCTGGGTGACAGAGCGAGACTCCCATCTCAAAAACAAACAGCCAGGCACGGTGGCTCAAGCCTGTAATCCCAGCACTTTGGGAGGCCGAGGCGGGTGGATCACGAGGTCGAGAGATCGAGACCATCCTGGTCAACATGGTGAAACCCCGTCTCTACTAAAAGTGCAAAAAATTAGCTGGGCATGGTGGCACGTGCCTGTAATCCCAGCTACTCAGGAGGCTGAGGCAGGAGAATTGCCTGAGCCCAGGAGGCGGAGGTTGCGGTGAGCCGAGATCGCGCCATTGCACTCCAGCCTGGGTAACAAGGGCGAAACTCCGTCTCAAAAAAAAAAACAAACAAACAAACAAACAAACAAAAAACAACAAAAAAAAAAACACCCAATATACCCATGGGTATATGCACATACATGCTTTAAAAGTCTAACCAAGGGTAATGGTGCATACCTGTAGTCCAACTACTCAGGAGGCTGAGGCAGGAGGACTGCTTAAGCCCAGGAGTTTGAGACTGCAGTACCCTCTAATCACGTCTATAAATAGCTACTGCACTCCAGCCTGGGCAACACAGTGAGATCCCATCTCTAAAAAGAAAAAAGAAAAAGGTGTAGAAACATATATGCCAAATTAACAATCATTACCCAAGGAGTGGAAGGGAAAGATGGAAAACTTTTTTTTCCTTTTATATTCCTGTATTTGATGTTTTAAATACTATTTTTGTAATTAAAAACTTTTTAAATTCATAATTTTCAAACATTTTGTGGTCATGAAAAATTTTCAAATATTTTTCTATAGGGAGATTTTAATTTCAACTTCAAGGCATTCTTGATAAACATGCTTTGTCCCATCTGTTTGGGCAGTTAAATACAGTCTTGCCTGGATACAGGGACAGACTTCATAATCCTTCAAGGTCACTCCAATCTCTGGATTTCTGATAAAGTATAGGTAAGCAATCAATCGGAAACGCAGGGTTTTTTCCTATACCCAGCAGGCTGATGGTGTTGTTGGACAAATTCCCCAAAATGAGGTGCTCTTGGAAAATGGCTTTCCCAGTACTCCTTGACTACGGTTTTCTTTTCTGAAAAGACAGATACACACACACACTCACACTCTCTCTCTCTGAATGTGTTCAACCAACCTGAACTGTGGCAGCTCAGCTTCAGCCAAGGAGGCAAGGGAAGCCCTGAGGCAGCTGCGTTCTGCACTGCTGCCACTTACAGTTTAGGCTTCTGACTTGGGAGAACACATGCTGAGAAACAGAAGCTCTGCTGTTATTAAATCATAGATGCTGGGGGTGAGTTTGGGGTGGAAGGGTCTGGCACTCATGCCACCTGCTACATGCAGGAGCTCAATTATACAGTGAATTACATTCACCGCTCAGTCAAGAGACAGTGAGCTGGAGACAGCAGTGCCATTATAACCTTTGGTTGCCTGGAGAAGCCTGGAGAGCTGCGGTTTTCCTAACGTGGTAAGTTCTCCTTTGGAAAATCACCATTCCCTATCCTACAATCTTTTCTCACTAGGAACAACTGCATTTGCTCATCCTGGCTTTCACATTTTAATTTGGTCCTGAAGCTAAGCAGTGGTGGTGGACAAATGACTTGGGAATCAGATACCCTCATTTAATCCTGGAACAAGCTGTCTGAGTGACTTCTACCCCCATGAGGCCCAAAGAAAAACATAATGAAATGAAACCACTTGCTGCTATGAAACAAATGTGGGAATATTTAAGCAGTTGTTTTTATTTATTCAACTATAAAGACTGATTGCAGCAATTTTTGATGAGTAATGCCTTCAATTAACACTAATTATATTGCTATAAATTTGATTCAGGATCAGAACAGGATTCAGAAAAGGGAGAGAACAAAAAAAAGTCTCTGAACATTAAAACAGAAAAATGCTTTACAAATAAAAAAACTTTAATTAAATGCTACTTTCCCATAGACTTGCCTAGACTGGTTTGCAATCTAAGGTAATAGGAAGCAAAGGATTGGGCATTTTGAAGAAACTGCAGGTTAAGCTCTAGTGCCAAGCAGAAGACTGACCACTGATTTGAGTGTCAAATCTCAGGCACTTTCTGGAATAGAGGCAGGTTTTCAGATGTTTTCTAGTGTTCTTTCCTTTTCACTAATTAAATTTTCCCTTCTCTGGCAAATCCAGTGCAGTATACGATCCCCTCATTGCCTCTCCTGGTCAAATAGTTGTTTGAATGGAAACTGGCAGGCACCTGTGGCTTCTGCTTAGCTTGGAAAGGTGACTAGCTCTGATTCACCTCCTCCTGAGACAGCCTGGACAGAGGGGGCCAACTGGAAGGCTGAAAACTGACAACAGCTGCCTCTGATTCCTGGTGGAAATGACCAACCAGATTCAATCCATAAGACTGGGAAAGATCAAGAAAAAAAGAATAGCTTCCCCTCCAAAAATGGTAAAGAGGAAATAAGGAGACAAGAACCAAAAATATTTAGAATGGCACAAAAAGTGATATGCATAAACTTTTTGTTATTAAATCTAACTATAAGTTTCCTAAAGTCCAGTTATTAACTTGAATTGTGTGTGATAGAGGAGAGAGGCCAACTGGAATTTCTCTCTTAAGAGTTCACGGCTTCAGTCTGAGAGGTCCTGGGCTTGCGCTGGGGGAGTCCCTTTTTGAATGAAGGCGTGGGTGGGCTAGGCTCCATGCTGATTCCAGTTTCATTGGTCTCTGCAGAGTGAGTCTGACCTTTTTCACTGGTGTTTCCTGGTGCCTGAGATGAAGCATTCTGATACCTGGAACCAGATGAATACCATGAGCTGTTTCTGCAACGACCCATACTGTCATGCCGCTCTTGGTTCACGGGGTCACTGGACTTTAGGCCTTGTGGCCTGTAACCTTGTCCTCCTCGCCCTTGGTTCACAGGGTCACTGGACTTTTGGCCCTGTGGTCTGTAACCTTGTCCTCCTTGTCTGTTCCCTGGCAATACCTAAAGATAAAAGAATACAATGTTCAAGGTGTTCTAGCATTATGGTAACACATTTGTTCACTTTACAAGAGTATTCTGAAAGCAGAATTGTGGCATTACATGCTTGGGACTCAGTTATCTCTCAAGACTCAAAGAATTCTGTTAGCCAATCCAAGCTAGCCACTACTTCAGAACTAATCCATCTTTCCTTGCTATTCATGCCCAGGCTCTTCACTGGAGAATCTACTTTTCTTTAGCTGGACACAAGAAGAAAGATAAGGAAGAAAGAATATTCTCTGGGTTGTTACAAGCCCTCAATTGGACAAGTATATTAACTCTGCCGATAAAAGGCATTTGGTGAAGATAATAAACATTTGGGATCGTAAAGTAAACATCACTATGGTCTGCTTTGCTGTATGTCATGAACTACAGATTAAACTATGCTGCTGTGGCATTCAGTACATCTTTCACATTATAATCCGGAAAGCTTATGGAGTGGGATTTTATTTTTGTCCTCCAATTCCAACGTCATATGAGTTCTGAAGAATTACTGACAGTACTGCCTTGGATTGCTCTTGTGTTTATTCTTCAAACAGGAGAAGAACCTATGGATTACTCTTCAACTTACTAGTGTTTTCCCCCCATCCCTACCAGGTCACTCTTTCTTTCACTGTAAATTCCACATTGTGCTTCTAGTGAGTTGCTGCTTTCAGATGCACACTGGTGAAACTGCCTCTTGTGGTGCCTGTCTACCTTGAGATGGGTGCACGACTCCCAGTGTGACTAATTACCAGGCAATACTATCTACAACAGCAGGGATCACAGCCAACACAAGAAAGTCAGCAGTTCTTGGCAACAGGAAATCTAAACTGGCTGACAGTTTGGAACATATGTATCTAATGCTTTCTCAGGAACTAACTTGGGCTGGAGGGATTCAAAACAGGCGTGGAATGGGAATAAAGAGAGGAAGGTAATATAATGAGCTATCAGCATTTAAGCTTTGACAATCTGGAGGGTTTTCTTCTAATACGCTCAGTGTAGAAGCTAGGTTACCTCCCGATGTGGCTGGTAGGGCCGGCCGCTGGAGTTTGCTATGGCTGCAGGAGTCTCTCCTGGTGCAAAGATTTTCTTGTTAGCATTTGTAAGGCTGGGAATAGAGGCACAGGTGGAAGAGGAAGCAGCAGAGGCATCACTTGGGCTACTCAAGGACACAGATGTAACTGAGCCACATCGGGATCTGGTTGAATAGCTGTTCTTTGGATGAGACACTAAGACAGAAATATGAGAAATATATGATCATATGATGAAACAGTACAATGGGTAAGGTTTCTGCTTTCTCAATTTCACAACGAGCAATTTAAGATAAAGAACTGTCTATTCAAATAAAGAAAAACCTAAAAATTGGTAACAGGAAGAAAAATCTCCCTTCTGCCCTCTTCCTCCATCCAAAGCCCCACTGCTCTGTAAAGGAATTCTTAGACAAGAGAACAGTTTAGGATCAAAGTTACCCATCCCCCACCAGCTAACGGCTTCTTGGGATTGGATTTGATACTACCTAACCTCCTGGCTATGGTTCTAGCAGCTGACTAAGCCTGGGAACAATAGCATAGGCCAGGCATCCCCAAACTTTTTACACAGGGGGTCAGTTCACTGTCTCTCAGACCGTTGGAGGGCCGCCACATACTGTGCTCCTCTCACTGACCACCAATGAAAGAGGTGCCCCTTCCTGAAGTGTGGGGGGGGGGCCGGATAAATGGCCTTAGGGGGCCGCATGCGGCGTAGTTTGGGGACGCCTGGTATAGGCCATATGTTCAGTTTCCTATGCAAGAAATGTTCTAAAGTACAGCCTTTACAAAGAAAAAAAGGAACATAAATCAAATCTTTACTAAATCCTTTTTAAAGAATTTTGAATGATACAAGGTATAAATAATCAAGATCGGTTAAATATGAATAGAACTAGTCTTTACAACAAATATGTATATTGCCAAATTTCTTTCTGCAAAATTAATCCCAAATTCAAAGTACTTATCTAACTGAAAAAATATTAATATTTTCAGTTCAAATAGTGTTAGAATTCAATGTTTTAAAACTACTCTTCTAGATTTTTTTCTTGGCTTTAAGCCTGGACTAATGATGAGTTCATAATTGTTCCCATAGGTTAAATATTTCACTTTTATACTAGACAGAAAGAACAGAGAAGCTGAGTTCAGGGTTTGACAAACAAGTCACTAGAAACTCACCTCACAGGCACTCCCCTAAGTTTTAGTGTGATTATTTAAGGATCTATTATGTGCCAAGCAAGACAAGTATTATTTTCTTCTTTCTATCTATCTATCTATCTATCTATCTATCTATCTATCTGAGAGAGAGTCTTGCTCTGTCGCCCAGGCTGGAGTGCAATGGCACGCTCTCGGCTTGCCACAACTTCCGCCTCTGGGTTCAAGTGACTCTCCTGTCTCAGCCTCCTGAGTAGCTGTGATTACAGGCGCACAGCACCACAAGCAGCTAATTTTTGTGTTTTAGTAGAGACTGGGTTTCACCATGTTGGTCAGGCTGGTCTCGAATCCCTGACCTCATGACCCGCTTGCCTCAGCCTTCTAAAATGCTAGGATTACAGGCATGGGCCACCATGCCTGGCTTATTTATTTTTTTAGAGACACAGTCTTGCTCTGTTGCCCAGGCTGGAGTACACTGGCAATCATAGCTCACTGTAACCTGAAACTCCCGGCTCAAGCTATCTTCTCCCTACCACACCCACCCCACTCCACCCTACCTCACTCCACCCCACCCCACCCCACTCCACCCCACCCCACCCCACCCCACCCCACTTCCTGAGTAGCTAGGACTACAAGCATGTGCCACCACAACTGGCTAATTTTTTCTTTTTTAATTTTTTGAAGAGATTAAACCTTGCTGTTGCCCAGGCTGATCTTGAACTCCTGGGGTCAAGTAATCCTCTGGCCTCAGCTTTCCCAGTTGTTGGGATTACAGGTATGAGCCACAGCACCTGGCCTGTTATCTCCACTTTGGAGAGGAGTAAAATGAGGTTCCAAGAGGTAACTACAGAGGCAGGGATTCAAACTTGGTCTGACTGCAGGGCCGCATGCTCTTTATACCACATATCATGCACCTCTCAATTCAGCATGAAAAAACAGTCTTTCACACTTATGCAGCTGGCAAATACTTGTCCTCAGAGTTCAAAGTATTTGCATCCATGAATTTCATAAGCATCCCAGAACTATTTTTCACAAAAACAAGCAAACAAGAGGTACTAATTAAGAATCAGTGGTAAAGACAATTAGCATGTCAACCTTTAATTAATAATCACCAACTGTAGTGTCCAGAACCTCTCTCCATCTCACCTTGTCCAAATGAATCAATGCTCTTCTTTAGGGTCTCTACATCACAGGTGAACCGGGCTACTCGTCCCAGGTCCTCGTCATATTTTCGTTCACTAACAAAGTGCTGGAAAAGGGCAAAGAATGGCCTCCAGGTCAGACAAACATCATCCAGGGAATCTACAACTTACTATACAGATAAAACAATCATTTTCAACTATCTTCTTTTTACTGCTTCAAAGTTTATTAAATGACCATCACATGACCAATGCTGGGTGATCCAATAAATTCATTCATTTTCTCAAGAGCCCAAAGGTAAGTTTGTAAGTTTATGAAATGCTACGTGATGGCCAAAGCCCATTAGGTAAAATCAAGAGAAACTGTAGAGAAAGAAAAAAGGAGGAAGAATTTATAGTAAAGGGCCATCTTTCTTTTTTTCTTTCTTTTCTTGAAACTGAGTCTTGCTCTGTCACCAGGAGTGAAGTGGTGCCATTGCCGCTCACTACAACCTTCACCTCCTGGGTTTAAGCAATTCTCCTGCCCCAGCCTTCCAAGTATTCGCTGGAACTACAGACACATACCACCATGCCCAGCTAATTTTTTTGTATTTTTAGCAGAGATGGGGTTTCACCATGTCAGCAAGGATGGTCTCGATCTCCCTACCTCATGATCCGCCTGCCTTGGCCTCCCAAAGTGCTGGGATTAGTGAGCCACCGTGTCTGGCCTGAGGGCCATCTTTCTACTGTTGGCTATTCTCCACATCTTTCCATTTTATATAGAAACAGAGGCAGCAAAATGTTTACAAGGTACTACAATGATACCCTTTAGATAGATGGTTTGGTGTTAATAGGAACTTCCTTAGGAAACCCACTTCATCTCTTTATAATTAAGTAGAATTTCTTAGTCCTTGAAATTGGAACAATTTCTTGAGATGGAAAACCATTCAAGTGAAAAGTCGACTTTGCCAATGAGAAGTTTATGCTGCAAGTAATTTAATCCTTTTAAGCAGACTGAGCTGAGAAGTAACCAACCCCCTGAGTCAAAAACTAACCATGCTACAAAAATCATGGGACTAGAAACATGTCAGGAATAAAGTGCTTCTGTGGGTCTATTTCAATAAACAATGTAGACTAGAATCCAGTCTACAATAAACAATGTAGACTGAAATCATTTTTTTTCCCAGATGAAAAGGAGAAAAGTGAAAGTCCTAGATATAATTTGGAAGAACTGAACCAGCCCGGGCACTCCTCTTAACTGGGGGTGGCCTAGGACCATTGCATCAGAATCTCGGGAAGCATCCAGAAGCACTGAAAGGGAAAGAAGAGAGAAAAATGACCTTTCAGCCTTGAATTCCTAAAGCTTCTGAGTATGCTGTGGCTTAGGAAAGCACATGAACCTCTTGTAACAAAACTTGCAGACATGTAATATCAGTCTGAGATTAATTCTGAAACAAATTCTAGGGTTTGTTGAGTCAAAGACATAATAGGAATGACGGAAATAAAATGATCTGGAAATAAGACATTTAAATTGCACAGCACCCACTTCAGTACACTGAAAAAGTGGAGAGAAACAGATCCTTAGTCAGCCTGCAGAAATATTTCTAGCAGCTTTTCAGCCACGTGGGAAGAGGAACAGATGAAGCCTGTGAGAGCCAGAATTATCATCTAATTCCAAAGGGGTTTCCGGCTTCTCCCCGAGAGTTGAATGAGACTGACTGGCATCAATGTGAGGAGGCCTTTCTATAAAATTTAATCATATAGTTTTAGTTAAACAGAAAACGGTAACTGAAAATTTGCATTGTTTGGCTAATTCACCCCAAAAGAGTTGAAGGGGAGGCAGTAAAAGAACAACAACACTTCACAGGTCTTAACACTGGGTCAGGCGATAGCAAGGATTCCTGTAAGGTCCTGGATGATCTTCCACCTCTGTTTTTATTTTATAGAGACTGTTGTACAGCCTCTGCAACAAGTGTTCTCTCAGAGTGACAATAAATCTTATGCGTTCAGAGAGAGAAGAGGTAAAGAGCAGAGGTGTGGAGAAGGCCAATTCCCTTTGTTACAGCTCGAAGTTTGTAAACAATTATTTAGAATGCCAATGACCAAAACTATCCATGAATATCCCAATTTCCCTCAGGTTCACATGATTAGTCTCAGAAACACTGGCCTGGCACAGTGGCTGATGCCTGTAATCCCAGCACTTTAGGAGGCCAAGGCGAGTACATCACTTCCTGCCCTCTCGAAGGAAGGAACAGGTGTGTCTGTGGAGTGGCGAGGCCTCCAGCCCCTGCTTGAAGGCAGATGACTGGGGGCATGGTGTGAACTGAGGGTAATGGTAGAGCAAGACTGCACAGCCTTGCTCTGCACAGGTCACGAGTTCGAGACCAGCCTGGCCAACATGGTGAAACCCTGTCTCTACTAAGAATACACAAATTAGCAGGGCATGGTGGTGCATGCCTGTAATTCCAGCTACTTGGGAGGCTGAGGCATGAGAATTGCTTGAACCCGGGAGGGAGAGGTTGCAGTGAGCGGCAGTGGCACCACTGCACTCCAGCCTGGGTGACAGAGTAAGACTCTGTCTCAAAAAAAAAAAAAAAGAATTTAAAAGGTATAAACAAATGTTAAACCCAAGTAATTTCTATAAATATATTACAACAAACATCTCAAAGATAAATTTTCTCTATAAAATCAGAATTGGTCAACTAACTGCTTACAGAAGACCAACTATATGCCAAGGTGCCATGCTAGGCACTTAGAAAGACAGGAGCTCCTGCCTGCCACTGTGAGGTTCACTATCTAGTGGGGAAGACAAATCAACCAAATGCATATAAAATCATAACTGTGCTCTGAAAGCACACAATGGGGAGGTATGATGGGGAAGTCAGGAAGGATGAGGAGGTCAAGAGAGGTAACTGGGTCAGGATGGTGGCTCACACCTGTAATCCCAGCACTTTGGGAGGCCCAGGTGGGTGGATCACCTGAGGTCAGGAGTTTGAGACCAACCTGGCCAACGTTGCAAAACTCCATCTCTACTAAAAACGTAAAAATTAGTTGGGCGTGGTGGCAGGTGCCTGTAATCCCAGCTACTCAGGATGCTGAAGCAGGAGAATTGCTTGAATCCAGCAGGCAGAGGTTGCAGTGAGCTGAGATCATGCCACTGCACTCCAGCCTAGGTGACAGATCAAGACTTTGTCTCCAAATAAATAAATAAATAAATAAATAAATAAATAAATAAAAGAGTGGTATCTATGCTTGTAGGCAGGGAGATGAGCAACTAGACAGATGGAAAAGCATGTGCAGTGGCCCTCCTGCAGGAAAGAACATGTGTGTCTGTGGAGTGGAGAGGCCTCCAGCCTCTGCTTGAGGGCGGAGGACCAGGGGACATGGTGTGAACTGAGGGTAATGGCAGAGCAAGACTGCACAGCCCTTCAGACCAGACTAAAGATTATGGTACATATCCTAAAAGCAACAGAAAGTTTGAAGCAGACTGATGTAGTGTGGGGAACATACATGGAGGGTGGGGCAGACACAGAATGGATGAACAGAATCACTTAAGAGGCTCTTACAGAAGTCCAGGCAAGAGATGGAGGTAACCTAATCATAATGGTGGTGGTGGAGACGAAAAGAAATGGTCAGATCTGAGATTTAGTCAAATGGACAGGGTCTGCTGACAGATTTAAGGTGGGAAAATGGAGAAATTTCCTGAGGTTTCCAGCTGGGACAACTGGGTAGACGACAATACCACTTATAGACAAAGAGACCTGGAAGGGGGCCAGGTTTGGGAAAGGAAGATCATGAGTTCAATATATTAGATATGGCCATGAATTATGAAATTTTCCTACTTTAGCCCCTGAGGGTAAGAAGAAAGGCAGAAAGCAGAAAGAAGTTTTACCTTGATATCAGCTCTGAGCTCAACCAATTGCTGCTCTGACATTTGAACAGCCACATGAGTCATCTTCTTTAGAAGTTCAGCCTTCTTTTGTCGGCTGAGCAAAATTTCCACTGTAGAGGAAAAGTGAGTGTGAACCTTATGTTGCTGCTAAATAGGATAAAGAACTAGAAATATAACCCTTGCAGTAGGTATTTGGTCAGCCAAAGTGTTTAGTTGCATATCCATCCAGAAAATGAAAATATTAAAAGTCTGGTCTCCACCTTCCATTGGGTCTCTGAAGGCAGTTAAGTGGTAAACATTTTTTATAAATCACAAACATTTGTAAATCATTTGTCATTTCTCTTCCTGGTCAAAAAAAAATTTTATCAAGATGCATATAAATTTAAAAGGAAATATGCACAGATAATAAAAAATTTCATCTAGAATAATTGGGTATAAAATGAAAAAAGCATCTCCCTTATTTCTGATTTTGTGGTCTCCTCTCTAGAGGAAACCACTGTTCACCATTTCTTATGTACACTTCCAAATATTATCTATGTATATACAACATGTATACATATATATCTCTCCTTTTTCCCTTCTCACAAATGTTAAGCATATCATACACATGGTCTTCCTTTACCTTAGCTATTTTTACTTAATATATCTTTAAGTGTATTCCCTATTAATACATCTGGATCACCTTCATTCTGCTTAACAGCCAACCAGTATGTGGCTATACCACAATTATCTACCGAGTTCCCTAGTGACGAGTATTTAGACTGTTAAACCCTTTTAAGAACCACCTTCTCTGGCATGCTCCCTAACATACAACTTGGATATGGTCATGGCAGAGAACAGACAATAAAAATCTCCCAGAGAGACAATGGCTACAGTGGAAACTGGACCAAAGAAATCCTCCCAGGAAGCAGATAAACCACCCAGGGAATGTTCTCTACTACCAGAGAAGGGACTCTTCTATTCTTTCCTGTCCAACATGATTTGATCATTGCTTTTCCAGTAGGAATTTTTACAATAAATATCCTCTTCTTTCTCCAAAAATGTAATATTGGAAGAGGGGGCATTTAGCCTTTCTTCTAGTTTATGTGACTCCATCCTTGGAATCTGAAATTACTGTGAAGACCTGGCCTGTTAGCTGAATATTAACTAACTAGATGAGACTTTGGAGGTATTGCTATTGAGGAGGTAGTGAACACATTCTCACTTTAGAAAAATGAGAGATACTGGGTAGGGGAGGACTATAGCAAAGACCGTTAGTTGACTGAATATAGCTATATTCAGGAACATTCAGGGCTATCAGAAATCCAATGTTGTTGGGTACCAACATAATTACATTTAAAAAAATCTATTTTTTCTGGCTTTGCCACAGCCGCAATGGTCATGTGATATGGTTTCGCCACTGAGATATAAGCAGAACTCAAAAAGAGCAGGGTTTACAGGAAAGTGCTTTAAAGAAGTCTTAGCGCCGGGCGCGGTGGCTCAAGCCTGTAATGCCAGCACTTTGGGAGGCTGAGGCGGGTGGATCACGAGGTCAAGAGATCGAGACCATCTCGGTCAACATGGTGAAACCCCATCTCTACTAAAAATACAAAAAATTAGCTGGGCATGGTGGCGCATGCCTGTAATCCCAGCTACTCAGGAGGCTGAGGCAGGAGAGTTGCCTGAACCCAGGAGATGGAGGTTGCGGTGAGCCGAGATCGCGCCATTGCACTCCAGCCTGGATAACAAGAGCGAAACTCCGTCTCAAAAAAAAAAAAAAAAAAAAAAAAAAAGAAGTCTTAGCATGTAACATTTTGTCCCATCTCGACTGGACCCTAAGGAGTTATCTTTTGACCATAAGCACACTCTAAGAATGGCTGGGCAGAAGGACAGAAGAACCTGGGTCCCTAATGTTATCTTAGAAATGTCCTGCCAGCCCTGGGTTGCTTACCTCTGTACTTTCCATTTCCTGAGAGAAAAGAACACACATTTACTTAGGCCACTCTGTTCCATGTAGTCAAATTCAATCCCTAATTGATACACATAGAATCCTGTAACATGCTGAGGAATTAGCCAAGTTCATGTCAGAAAATACAGAAGTTTTAAAGAGTTACACCAGATATTACAGCAAATTTACTTGGCCCAACTGCCACAGAGATGCACACATGGGCTGCCCAGACCCAAGTCACACTAATCAGCCAGGGCCCAAGTTCTCAGGAGTCAGGAGCATGCCTACAAAAGTTTACTAACACCAAAGCCCAACAGTTACAAATGATCTATTGGTTTAGCTCCCAAGATAAAAACTATTTGCCATTTGTATCAGCTTCAGTTTCTCTCAGCTCTAGCATTCAGTGATTTTAAGAAAAAATTATATAGCTCTCAAAATGATGAAAATGAGGTGAATAAAGATTTCTACACATAACAGATAACTAGAGGACCTAATTATACAACATTGGAAAAGACTGAAATACTACAAACCTATCAATTACTTCATAAAATTATAATATGTAAAAAACAAAAGACGCACCTCTTGATAGCACTGAAGTAATTATACGGTGTCATTGAGAACCAGGATTTTCAGGGAGAAAAGAGCTAAAGATATAAAACTGATGAAGTTAAGTAAAACTCTGAGTGCTGAATTTGATAAAATCAGATTGGCCACAAATTGATAACTGGTTGAAGCTGAGTGATGGGAGTTTGCTACATTAGCCTATTTAAATTTTCTATTAATATAAAAGATATATTAAAATTTTTCAAAGCACTTTTTAAAAAAAAAATTTCAAGATGGGGTCTTGCTCTATTGCTCAGGCTGGAGTGCAATGGTGCAATCACAGCTCACTGCAGCCTTGACCTCGTGGGCTCAAGTGTTCCTCCCACCTCAGCCTCTCAAGTAACTGGGACTACAAGCACATGCTACCACACCTGGCTAAATTTTTGTTTTTTGTAGAGATGAGGTCTCACTATGTTGCCTAGGCTGGTCTCAAACTCCTAGGCTCAGGTGATCCACCCAAAGTGCTGGGATTATATGCATGAGCCACCATGCCTGATCTAAAACCACCTTCTTCTCAAAAGTAAGAAATATGTCTTCTTAATGGTTTTAGTTTATCTGAATTTCCATCTTCAAAAAGAGTATACAGATATAAGAATGGACTGAAACGTCAAATTTATAAACTCAAGGCATATTGCTCAATGTAAACAAAATTTCACCTCTGAAAAACAGTGGAAGGCTTCTCTGCAACATTCTCAAACTTTTTTTTTTTTGGTCTTTTTGTTTTTTTTCCTTTTTGTGGAGAACGGGTTCTCGCTATATTGCCCAGGTAGGTCTCAACCTCCTGGGCTCAAGCTATCCTCCCGTCTCTGCCTCCCTAAGAGCTGGGATTACAGGCTTGAGCCACAGCGCCTGGCAACATTCTCAAATTTTCAAGTTAAAATGGACCAAAACTGAAGTAATTTCAGTGCTTCAAAACTGCCTCCTCTGGCCTATAACCACACACACAAGTGATTTAACCGTGAGTCATGATCTCGACCTAGCCCAGTATTTCTATTCTTACCAGTTTGAGGGTGGGTTAAAATAAACAACCTTCCTAATAATAAATCTGGCATTCAATGCAGGAAGGTAAAACCTGCCACTGAAATGCCCCAAATCAATGTCATTGTACATGTTGCAGTTGGCACTCCCTTGTCTTCGTGTAGCTGTGTATGTTTAACCTAACCCTTAACAGAAATGACAAAAAAGAAAAAAGATACTTTTTTTCTGTAAAAAACCTCACCAATCATCGAAATTAGACTCCATTCCTCCAGAATCTATTTTAGTAAGCTTTCAAGAAACCCTAGTTATGGTATCTTGAATCTTCAATTCACTAACTTTTCCCTTATCTATTACTAACAGACACTGAGTGAAGACTGTTCTACAAACTGAGAAAACCAAGAAAGTTCTGAGATAGGTAATGACAGGAGTATATACATTCAATTGTAGGCAACCTAATGAAGTCTTCTCTGATTATGCTAAAGGTTCATTTCCAAGTGGGAAAAATCCCAATCCCAATAGGATTGCTTAAACACTGGAGGAAGAAACAAAATAAAATAAAATCCTGGTGGCAGATACCATGATGCAATCTCCTTTTTTTTTTTTTTTGAGAGGGAGTTTTGTTCTTGTTGCCCAGGCTGGAGTGCAATGGCATAATCTCAGCTCAGCCCAACCTCTGCCTCCTGGGTTCAAACGATTCTCCTCCCTCAGCCTCCCAAGGAGCTGGAATTACAGGCATGTGCCACCACGCTCAGTTAATTTTGAATTTTTTTTTTTTTTTTAGATGGAGTTTTGCTCTTGTTACCCAGGCTGGAGTGCAATGGCGTGATCTCGGCTCACCGCAACCTCCGCCTCCCCGGTTCAGGCAATTCTCCTGCCTCAGCCTCCTGAGTAGCTGGGATTACAGGCACGCGCCACCATGCCCAGCTAATTTTTTGTATTTTTTTAGTAGAGACGGGGTTTCACCATGTTGACAAGGATGGTCTCGATCTCTTGACCTTGTGATCCACCCACCTCGGCCTCCCAAAGTGCTGGGATTATAGGCTTGAGCCACCACGCCCAGCCTAATTTTGAATTTTTAGTAGAGATGGGGTTTCTCCATGTTGGTTAAGCTGGTCTTGAACTCTCAACCTCAGGTGATCCGACCGCCTCGGCCTCCCAAAGTGCTGGGATTACAGGCACGAGCCACCGTGCCTGGCCACCATGATGCAGTTTCTTATACATTGAACTCTGCATTCAAAATGTTAAGATTTGGGAATATTTTTAAATCAGACTCTTCAACGTTATTTCACCTCAAAGAATTCATACGCCAGTGCAGTACACTGCTTAAGATTATTTAAATATATAAACTGTTATTATGGCATTTATATTGAACTTTTGTTAGGAGGATTGGGAAGTAGGTACCTACTATTTATGAAGGTAGTAACTTTAATTAAAGATCAATCATCTTACTTGCTTCAGTTTTCACTTTGTCCATTTCAGCAAGCAATGCCACTTCTCGATCCATTAAACTAGGAAAAGATGACAAAGGAATAAAAGATTTGATCAGAAACTCAAATACAAAATTAGCACATTATTAATAGTAGAGAAAGACGGGTGAGTTTGTTTGCTAAAAGCATACTAAAAAAATAACACTGTATGGGCCACACAAAAATTCCGATGTCTTACTCTCAACAAAGAATATTTTTAAAACTTCCCATAAATAAAATAAACAGACCCAATTCCCTTTTATATTGCAATATTGGCACATTGCAGTACACCAATTGCTAGATGTCTAAGAGTTGAGAACCAACAGATGGCAGTAGCAAGCTACAAAACATATTTTTTAGTAAGCTGTGCTAAAGCAAAAGTTCCTGTGAAAAATTACTTACTTAACCAATTATACACTCACATACTTTCTATATTTATGTTTTGGTCTACAAAATTTGATTGCTTTGCTCCTATTTTTACCAAGCAACATCCCCACTAGGACACAGTAAACTTATCCATAATTAGGATTTGTATATCTTTAACAGCTGACCATGGTTGCACCAAGTCCACTTACAGTTTAGTACTTAGACTGCAAAATAGTCAAAAGATAGACATATAGTGTGTTAGTTTCTGAGAAACATTTAATAGTAATTAGGAAGGATGGAACTATGGATTTCTGGTAGGGTTTTTACAGAAAAAGAACATTAAATAGGCAATTAGAATTTTTTTCCATTGCAAATGTAAATGATTTACAGGCACAAAAAGCTTTTCCATGTTGTTATAAAAGAGCCCATGGCCTTCAATGTATAAGGAGACAGTAGGTTACTCTCTAGTATTCAACCTCTGGATGCAAAGAATTTTCCTGCTGGGCGCAGTGGCTCAAGCCTGTAATCCCAGCACTTTGGGAGGCTGAGGCGGGTGGATCACAAGGTCAAGAGATCGAGACCATCCTGGTCAACATGGTGAAACCCTGTTCTCTACTAAAAATACAAAAAATTAGCTGGGCATGGTGGCACATGCCTGTAATCCCAGCTACTCGGGAGGTTGAGGCAGGAGAATTGCCTGAACCCAGGAGGCGGACGTTGCGGTGAGCCGAGATCACGCCATTGCACTCCAGCCTGGGTAACAAGAGCAAAAAACTCCGTCTCAAAAAAAAAAAAAAAAAAAAAAAAGGAATTTTCCTTACCATACTGGTTTTGCTTTTCGGTGGCGAAAAGAAAAAAACATCTAGAATTTTAATACCTGCACAAACATGGAATGTTCCAGCTTTCTTCAAATTTGGAGTTCATTCTCATTTCTCCTTTTGAAGGGGAATATAACTACAGGGCAAATAAAAGTTCCACTCTTGTTTCTGGTTGTAATCTCACACACACACACACACACTCACTCACTCTCTCTCTCTCTCTCTCTCTCTCTCCCCCCTCCCCGTTGCTCTCTCTCTAATCAATTTAGCTCAATACATAGTATTGTTAACACAAAGTAGTTAATGTGGAGACTACAGTGTGAGACGTACAAAAATGTCTAAGGCAGGATCATTTCTTCAAGGAGCAAATCTTTTATAGGGAAGTGCCAGAGAACATAGATTTGATAATTGTTATGTATGATGTTAATAAACAAACTTGTAACTAAACAAATTTGGTTGGCATATTAATCCAAAAGCATCAAACTGGAGAGAAGATACAATTATTGTGGGTAGCAATACTTTGCTAAGAAAGCATTTCCCAAACCTTGGCAATATTTTGCTCCAAGAACTCTAGCAGCATTGGAATACCTAAAAGACAAAACAAAAGCACAACTGAGACAGGAGCTGCCAGGCCTACAGTTTGACATTACCTCTCTTCTGTTGCCAAATCACCTTAAGATGCAGACAGTGTGTCCATCAAATGACAAATCCCTTCTCTCTGACAAAGCTTGTAAAATATTTATTGAAGACTATAGCAAACAAGCCTTTTGCAGCTTACAATCTTTATTATGAGAAGTAGAATGTCAGATGACACTTTTAGCAAGCTCTGCATCAACACAATCAGATTTTTTTTTGTGTGGCAACTTGTGCTAGTACATTGTGACAGCATTTTTTTTTTCCCTGTGAGAATGACTAGTGTTTATTTAAATAAACTTTGTTTCTCGATTAACTCAGTGGTAATCACAAGAAATTTATAGGACAGTGCATGGACAACCATATAACCACTCCAGTAAAAAAAAAAAAAATACTAGCTTATAATATATACATCTACCATGTACCCACAAAAATTAAAATAAAACTAAAATATATTAGCTTATGTTTTCATGCTAAAAAACAATGAAAAGCAGTAAGAACTTCTGTTTCTTTTTGCTTGTTGTTCGTCATGTTGCCATCTATGGGTAACAACTAGTGAAAGGTCCTGTGATGTCAGCCCAGCGTTAAATAAAAGAATCTACTAGTTAACTGATGCTGATATAATTCTCAGAGAAAAGATTGATCAACATTTATAACTTTCCATTAAAATTTCTACAGCTTTAAAATATGAAAATGAGCCGGGCCTGGTGGTTCATGCCTGTAATCCCAGCACTTTGGGAGGCCGAGGCGGGCAGATCATGAGGTCGAGAGATCGAGACCATCCTGGCCAACATGGTGAAACCCCATCTCTACTAAAAATACAAAAATTAGCTGGGCATGGTGGCACGTGCCTGCAGTCCCAGCTACTTGGGAGGCAGAGGTTGCAGTGAGCCAAGATTGCACCACTGCACTCCAGCCTGGGCAACAGGAGCAAAACTCCATCCCCCCCAAAAAAAGAATAAAGGTCAAAATTTAATAGTAAATTTCTTATTAAAAGCACATCAGAAAATGAAATTATATAAATGGCATTATGGTTGTATAGAAGAATGACCTACTTTTAGGTCAGTTATGCTAAAGCATTTGGGGTGACATGTCATCTACATCTGGAACTGCCAAATGGTTCCACCAAAATATTATACACACACAGAGCAAATACACTGTCACTATACTATCCTTTCAACTTTTCTATATATCTGAAAGTTTTCATAATAAAAAATCAGTGAAATGTTGGCATCACAAAATAAATGAAGAAGGTGGGAAGAGTGCAAAGTGGAAAATAGGTTACATATAATAATAACAACATAGGCATTTTTTACAATTAAAAATAATCTATTGAAACACAACTTTTAACACAAAACTTAAGCTAAAGTTTTCCCATCTGTTTTTGAGCTAAACAGTGGTTCCAGTATGTATCTGTGGCCAAGAGGTTCAAAAGCACCTGTGGTGTGAGGTAATGGTTTTTAGATGCCAGAACAGTAAGCAATGAGTCCTCCCAGAGAGTGATAAAAGGCTCATTCAGACTCTTTATTACCTTGCTCACTCCAATACCCCAGCTAATGAAATTCAGCTAAACATTGCTGGGACCCTGTTTGGGAAAACACTAGTTCTTATTAAGCCTGTGTCTTATTCAGTGTTGATAATTTGCACATCCTTTCTCCAATCATGAAAGATAGATTTGGATGACTGCTCCCTACTACTAAGGAAAAAGAGACTGGTAACTAAGTTTAAGTGTTCTATATTTCTTTCCTTCCTTTTCAGGACTTCTCACCATGTTCACATTTGCTCAACTTATTCTAAGGCTTTTTTTTTTTTTTTTTTTTTTTTAAGACGAAGTCTCACTCTGGAGTGCAATGACATGATCTCATCTCAGCTCATGGCAACCTCCGCCTCCTCCTGGGTTCAAGTGTTTCTCCTGCCTCGCCTCTCGAGTAGCGGGGATTACAGACACACGGCACCATACCCAGCTAATTTTTATATTCTTAGTAGAGATGGTATTTTATCATGTTGCCAGGCTGGTCTCAATCTCCTGGCTTCAAGTGATCTGCCTGCCCAGGATTACAGGCATATGCCATTGCACCCAGCCAATTTATTCTAAAGCTTTTCCATAATTTAGTTGCTCAGAATAGTTGTTATTGCAGTATCACCATTCACATTTCTAACACATACTGTGTTTATCATTTGAAGAAAGCCCCTAATTAATATACAGGTATCTAACATGCAATTACAGATTCTAGCTCTTGCCTTCAATAATTCATTGGTACCAAAAAATTGTTAATTATCATTTGTTTATGATTGTTGCATTGGAAAAAATAATAAAATGGAAAACACAACTCTGACAATTCCATAGTTCAATTATTTCAAGGGATAATACTCTAAATCATTCAATAATATTTTCAGAAAATGTTTGTACTTGATTTTATTTGCTCAAAAGCTAGAATCCTTTTTTTTTTTTTTTTTGAGACAGGGTCTCACTGTCACACAGGCTGGAGTACAGTGGCACCATCAAGGCTCACTGCCAACCACTGCCTCCAGGGCTCAAGCAATCCCCCTGCCTCAGCTCTCTAAGTAGCTGGGACTACAGGTATGAGCTACCACACCCAGCTAATTTTTGTATTTTTTTGTAGAGATAGAGGTTTCACCATGTTGCCCAGCCTAGTCTCAAACTCCTAACCTCAAGCGATCCACCCGCATCAGCCTCCCGAAGTGCTAGGATTACAGGCATGAGCCACTGTACCTGGATAATTTGTTTTCTAAGACAGGGTCTTGTTTTGTCACCTAGGCTGGAATGCAGTGGCATGATCATAGCTCACTGCATCCCTGACCTCCTGGGCTCAAGCAATCCTCCTGCTCAGCCTCCTGAGTAGTTGGGGTTAAAGGTACATGCCACCACACCTGGTTAATTTTTTAAAAAAATTTTGTAGAGACAAGGGTCTCACTATGTTGCTCAGGCTGGTCTTGAAGAATACCAGAATCACAAGACACTACAAGTTGTGACTTAAGAATAATAGTGATTTAGGACTTTCTGAATCACAAAACAAAATATATTGGATATTCAGATGGAGTATTCTTATAGTTTTACTTTATTGAACTTAAAAAACACTTTCATAGGCTCAGTCTAAATCCTGGTCCTTCCCATTCTAACCTGTTTCATAATGACTAAGTTCCTTAGTACCTAAATTATCCTACATTAGGCTTTCTCTGTTACATAGCCTTTAAGCTGAAGAG